AAAAAAAGTATTTTCTTTATTTTAAAAAAATGTATAACTAATTGGGAATACATATGCCATATCATCCTATAGTGCAGTCATATCAAGCAGTATTTTACAGTTGCTACCACAACCAGTTTCCAAACATTCTTCTCCTTCCTCGACCCCTTGAACTCTACTGCCTTTTATAATCCACCCCACCCCCACCACAACCACCACTGTACCCTCCCTCCTACCCTTGTTGGACTTGCTGTCCCTGTAGGTACTATCTAGCTTTTGATATTTTGTTTTTAGGATTATTAGATGAAAAGGACTTTTAGAAATGATGAATTTATATGCCTTCACTTTATAGATGATAAAAGTGAGGAAAGAGGTTATAAGTACCTTGCCTTATATTTACTGATAGAATTGGAACTGAAAACCTAATTTTTTTCACTAACCTCTCATGATAACACTCTTGGAGACAGATTATCTTGGATGTATTTTATTCTTTCTTTTATCAGTAATGTTACCTTATATAAGTCTTAACGGCCTAATTTGGAGCATGATAAATTTCAAGAATAACATCTATATTGCTCACAAGTTATGCTTCTTGATTTGTAAAGCATGCTAAACCTCTATGTTAAACTTAGTATTCTGTTGTCTAGGATAGTAAATGAAAGTCGACAAGTACTCCAGGAACCTGATTTTGCTCAGTCCCTCCTGAGGGATCCAAATACTCCTATTATAAGAAAATCAAGAGGTACATCCACTCAAGGAACATCCACACATGCTTCTTCAACTCAGCTGGCCATGGTGGATGATCAGAGAAGCAAAGCAGGGAGTGTCCACAGCAAAGTGAGCAGCTACCATGGCAGCCTCCACAGGTCACGTGATGGCAGGTGGGTTTTAATCATGCCTTAGTTTCCGTCAAAGACTGAATTTTGGTCAAGCAAGTTAAGTCATGAATTCTGAAATAGTAGTTGACCATCAGTAAGGTAGAGGATATCTACCGTAAGAGCTGTCGGAGTTCAGTGTTGATACTTGATGCAATACGTACTGAGTGTACTTGATGCAGTAAGTATGTACTACTGAGTCAGGGTCTTAAGCAGGGCAAAGGCAGAGTAAAAATGGTTATTTTGAAAAGATTACTTTAGCATTCAATTATGGAATATTTACTGTCTACCAGATACTGTGGAAATAGAAAGATGATTTAGATAACTGTTTTTAACAAGCGCAGTGCTTCGTTGTCCAGTATAGTATTGCTAGTATTATAGTCTAGAATGAAGCTTCTGTTTCGTCATCTCTCAAATGGAGAGAACAGTATTAACTGCTCTCATAAAACTTGCACAGATTCAATGAGATAATACACTTAATTGCTTAGAACAGTGTCTGTGTCAGTAAGTACCTGGCATTGACTTATAAGCACAACAGTATAACATGGAGGTTGGCCAACTTTTTCCCACAAAAGCCAGATAATACATATTTTAGGGTTTATGTGTCAGACAGTCTTTGTGGCAACTACTCAACTCTGCTTTGTAGTGTGAAAGAAATCATAGGCAATATGTAGTAAATAAAACTTTATTTTAAAAAACAGATTTGGGCCAGATTTGACCAATGAGCCACATTTTGCCCAACTACTTTTTACAAAGTATAGTAATATGAGATAAGGGGATGTGATTTGTAATTTTAGAACAGGATTGGGTCAAAGAAAACTTCACAGAGTGAAGGTTAAGAGAAATCTAGCTGTGGCTTTCATGTTGGAGATTTAAGGCACTAGCATTAGAGGAGCTGTTAGGGAATTTCTGCAGTCAGTTGAGAGACAAGGAGATGTAGTGGAGAGTAGTGACAGTGCGGAGAGAGAGAAAGAGCTTGTGGAGACTTGGAAGAAATAAAGGACTTGGTGATAGATCAATGTTAGTCCCTGGATTCACCCAGGATTTTCTTTTTTAGTTTGGGAAACTGAAAGAATGAAAAATCTGACTCTGTGCCCCAAATGGGGCATGTTTATTTTTAAGCATCTGTTTTCACAACTGTCTTGTTTCCCATAACTCATCTCCCCACCCCCTAATGTAGGATATGACTCCTATTCTTACTCTCTGCTTTCTTACTTGGTCAGCTTTCCTGTGTTTTAAAGGCAGCAACTTTTCTTTGCTGTTGATCTACTATCTTAGTATTATTTTTCCTTGTCTTTCCCTATTTTTGAAATGAAAATTCTTTATTTATTGTTTCTACTTTCTATTCTACATTCCTTTTAAATCTAGTCTTTTTTCTCCTCCCTTCTCATCTGAACTGTGCATTTTAACATCAACAGCTTCTTTGTAGCTACTTTAGAAGTGCTCTCCTTCCTTCTGCCTGTTTTCCATCTACTCATCACTCCTTTGTGAGAGGCCTCCTTCTCAGTGTGAGGCCATGGAGATGGTAGAAAGATGAGTATGCAGTCAGTTACGGTCATAAGGGTGCTACAACGATAGGTAGGGTGCTTGGGGAACCCAGAGGGGGGAAAGCATCTAACTAGCTCATCACAGAAGGTCAGCAAAAGCTCCAAAAGAGATGACACTCTATTTTGAATCAGATTCAGAAGAGGCAGAGGACAATGAAACTGCATGTGGAAATACACTGCAAGAAGGGAGAGCGGGCAGGTAGGAGTGTAGGATGTAGGTTTGGATGATCGTGAAGACAAAGCCTTGTTAAGAAGTTTGCATTTTTCTATGAAGGCAATGAGGACTATTAAAAGGCTTAAAGCATTGGAGTAAAATAATAAGATTCTCATTTTAGAAAGTCCCTTTGGCAACAGCGAAGGAGAGAATGGATTATATCTAAGACTAGTTAGGAAGTTTCTACAGCACATTAGGCGTCTTATGTAAAGACACTGATGAGAAAAAAGAATTGGAGAGTATTTTAGAATATATTTTGTCACTTACCACCATATATAAACTCTGAGCATTATTTGACATTATTGGCTTCCTAATTTTCAGTGAGAAACATTTATTTATAATACAACTCTTATGCATGTGGCATTTTGTGTAGAGATATACAGAAGAAAGTTAAGGTGTAATTCCTACATCCTAGGAAAGATAAAGCATATGAACCTAGTGCAGGTCAGTACATGATCAGAACACTAAGTATTAGATATTATAGCTGTCATAAGACTTACTAAGTATGGATAATTTTCTCATTTCAAAAATGGATTGGAAAAGGGAGCTTATTAAATTAGAGGGGAAGTTAGTATAAAATAAAATTACCAGGAGCCCTACTGATGTAATGGGTTAAATGCTGGGCTACTCCAAGGTCATCCCTTCAAAGGTACCAGCCGTCCCACTAGAGAAAGTAGCAGCAGTTCTACTCTCCCCTGTGGGGTCACGATGGGTCAGAACGGACTCAATGCAGTTGCTTGGTAAATGAAGTTACTTGCGAATTCTCAAAAGACTGGTTGTTGTTATTGTTTCACCTAAAACTTCAGTGAGTCACTTTCATGAAATGTGCTACTCCTGTTACATAGTGTGTCCTGTTACCCACTTCAAAAGAACCCTTCTTCTACTAGGTACACTCCCTGCAGTTACAGAGGGATGGAGGAACGACTACCTCATGGCAGCATGTCCCGACTCACAGATCACTCCAGGCACAGTAGCTCCCATCGACTCAATGAACAGTCACGGCACAGCAGCATCAGAGATCTCAGTAATAACCCCATGACTCACATCACACATGGCACCAGCATGAATCGGGTCATTGAAGAAGATGGAACCAGCGCTTAATTTGCCCTGCCTGAGGTGGAAAACGTGCTGTTTAAAAAGCAGATTTTATTCTTGCCTTTGCATGACTGATTGCTGTGACTCACTGTTATGCTTTCAGTCACCTGCAGATTGTGTCCACTGGAAAGGTAAATTTCTGCTTTTTATATTGCATCAAACTTGGAACATCAAGAAATCCGACACGCTCAGAATTATGTCATCACAAAAATGATTCTTCTTTCTAGGTTATGAAGAGATAATTATTTGTGTGGTAAGCATTTTTATAAACCCAGTTATTTTATATTTAGAAAATTCCTAAATGTGTGGTGACTGCTTTGTAGTAAACTTTCATATGAACTAGTGGTGAGATGGCATATTCTGGTAGTTCTGTCAGTACAACCAAGTTTCAGAAGTGAAAACATTTTCTATGCAAGGTTTGTTTCTCAGATGTATAGTGGGACTTGTAGTTCTTCTTTCCACTAAGTGAAAAAGAACTGTATTTTTAAACTGTCGGAGAATTTGATAAATCAGCAGGGGTATTTTAGCTAATAGATTATACGTACAACAGAAGAATCTGATGAGTCTATTGAGGCTCTTTCAAATTTCTATCAAAATAATCTTCACCCAGAGATATTCAGGATTTGAATTAGCAGTGAACTAAAAGTGGATATGGACATTTCCCCTATAATTTTCCTGTTTTGTTATTTTGTAAATACTACTTTTTGTATTTTGTAAATACTACTTTTATTGGCTGTATTTTTGTAACTTATCCATATGCATGGTGGAAATCTTAATTTGTAGCCATTCTCTCCCATGTAATAGTGTTGATTCATAGAGAACTTCATGTTAAGATCTGGTTCATGGAGGCATGTAAGAAGACACGCATACACATTATAAGATTGTTCATGTTAATCATAATTTCAAAGTGACAAACTGTTTTCTAAGTGCTCATTATTGTGGTTTTCTGCAGTGAGATGTGATCTTGCCAAAGCCATCAGACCTTGGCATCCAGGCCCCTCCTACCCGTGAATTGATTGTCTGCATTTGTGTTGCCCTAATGGGTTACAGCTTTTTGCCCCATAACCTTTTTTTTTTTTTTTGGTTCAGATTCAGGATAAGTCTTGTTTACAGCTGAAATATATACTCGTATAACCTAAATCCAAAGTGGTGATTAATTTGGGGTATTTGAAAACCGTTGTAGCTAAATGAAGCATGATTAGTCTTGCTGTGAAGTACCGCTTATCCTAAAAATATCAACTCAAAATGTTTGGCATTTTGTCTTGTAATGTTTGACATTTTGTCTTGTAATGTTTAAATCATGTACTCTATAAACTGTGAACTGTGTTGGGCATGTAATTGACCAGAAGAAAAAGAAACATTCTGGATGTGTTATGCAACAGAGCACATTTAAACAACCGAGTCTCAACCCTGCAGCTCAGAGTCACTTAGGAGGGCACTTCTGATACCCAGTGACTTACTCTCCTTCAGATTTAATTGGTTGAGGTTTAAGTCATTCCCTACATACAGTTGTTTTCCACTTATTCTTCATTATGAAATGCAGAACTCTAGGCCCCACTCTTAGGGAAGATTCAATAAATCAAAAGGTGGTAGGACTTACACAAGTAATTAAAGAAATCACGTTTTGAAAAATACTGCTCTAGACTCTATGGCCTGGATCTGCCATATCCTTTCTTTTTTTTTTTTAAACTTCTAACAAGTCGACCTCTCTGAGCCTGCATTATTTGAAATGAAGATAGAAGATAAATATGTACCCTACCTACCTCATAAATTTGTGTGAGGATCAAATTTATTTTAAAAATAAATATGAATAATATGAAACCTTTGGGATTATCATTACTACTGATGATTTAAGAGACTGTGGGCTTTCTATTTAATGTGTTTCAGTCTTTGTGTACTTATTTCTCTTACCTATTAAAAGAAAAATACCAAGATATGAGGTGTTGAAAAAGCAACTTCTATTAAATACACAAGTCAGTTTCCTGATAGTAAGAATTTATTTGACTGTCATGTTTATTCTCTCAATTAATTTTTAGTAATTCTTCATAAGATTTATTTGACCATTTGACCCACATGCATTTCTTTTTCTTCTCACTTCCTTGTCTTTCCTCTTGGAACTGGAATTAATGCCCCAGCCAGGCAGGTTCTAAATTCCCTCATAATTGACAATGCTTTTTCTCTGAAGGCCAGACTTAAAACAACCTGTTTATAAATAAATCAGCAATCCATGATGCTTTTGCCTGATAATCTCTCCTGAGAACAGCAGGAGAAAGTGAAAAACAAACATTCAGAAACAAAAATAAGAAGTTAAGCTAGAAGGTACCAGTTTGAGCTCAAAGATGTTGTCGTCCTTAGCCATCTGCATTATATTATCAAGTGCCAAAATAGTGGTTGGTTTGTTTATAGGAGTGGGCCAAGTAGAGACAGTTAAGCGAACATCTCTGTGGAAATCTTATCTTCTTATCTTCATGTATTCTGGGTTTTATATATTCATTTCTATCCTTTCCAAAAAAGCAATTGTTGGTGTGTCTGCAGATGTCATAATGACCGAATTGCAGTTACTTTTAGCTAGTATCTATCTCATGCCCTACACATGGATATTGTTAATCCGTTGTTTTAAATAACAGCATTTAACTTGGGCCATGTTATTTATCAAACCAGTGCTCCAAATTATGACTTTTAAAGAAATGATTGAAGAGCTTTGGCAAAACAGCAATCTCAAGTTTCAACCCGTGTAAGCCATCTTGAGCAAGCCAGGACAGTTTTCTGACCATATGCTTAACTCTAATTTGAGTTGTGATTGGCATATGACATTCAGTTATTAGTTCATTTGACAACTGAGAAAATAATAATGTTCTCTAAAATGTTAATAAAATGTGTAATCAAAAGTTTCTCTAAAAATATTAAACCCCAAACTATAATTAGGTTAGCTCTTTGTGGACCAGTTGAATGAGACTATTCACATAAACCTGTTTTTTCCCCAAACATTTTATTAGGAGCTAATCCAGACATCATACCATTCATAGTTCAATCACATCAAGCAGTGTTGTACAATTGCTACCAATCAAGCAAACTTACTAGTAATGATTTTATTCTTTTGCCTCTTTCTCAGAGCAGATTTATAAAAATTCTAAGAAGCATATCTAATTAGAAAACTCTGCACTTTTGCCTACCTCATTAATTTCTTTATAATATTTGCTGGAAATAACTAAAATTATAGCTGTATTTTAAGCGTATATTCCAGTGAAATGAAAGGAACTACATAGTTTTTTAAAATAAAATGGAGGATGATTGGCTGAAACTTGGAAAGCATTAATATACCAAAATTATGATGATATTTCTACTGCTTTTCCACATGCCAAAGGTCTATTTACATATATCATGCTTGGATGATTTACATAGATAGTGTAGTGAACATAAGAAAATTCCACTGGACTTGGAATTTGAAGGACCATAATTATGATGTGAACTGAACAGTTCACATTTAACTTATTCTCAATTTCATCCATGAAAAATGAGGGTATGATCTTTTATTTTTTGTTCCAACTTACTTCATTGGACATTGTGAGGATCAAATGAGATATGTGTATTTTATAGTACTCTGTAACCTATCAATTTCTCTATTGGTGATAGTTTTGTTTGAATTTTGGGGTTGTAGAAAACAACAATATGGTGGTCTTCAGTAGTATTTATTTTTAGCAATAACAACAAAATAGACAACTAAACCAGATTCATGGGGTACAATCTTTAAATCAACAATCCAATTAATCTTTAAAATGATTGCTTGAGTAATTGTTATTTTGCCACAAGTAGCTATACCCTTAAATTATGTTTGTTGTTTGCATACTGATATACACTCTGATTTTATGTGGTTGAGTTTGGAGGTCACTTTCCGCAGAAATTTAGGAATCTGCATTATATTTCCTTCTTTGAGATGTAATTGTATAATTACATGAAAAGGAAATTTATAAGACAAATATGAAGAGGAGCGTAGACCCTATATGTTTTTTCCCTTGAAGATTTTCATGTACCTAATTCTTTATGATTAAAAACAAGTTTTTCAAAGGTGATTGCTGTATTTGTTAGTTTTCGTCATGGCAAACTACATTTTAAGATCTAAAACGATGGGAATTGTTTTTACATACATATATGTAATTTTTAAATAACTGAAGTAAGGATTTCTTCTCCATTTCACTTCAAACATAATTACACAAATGATAAAATTTTTATAGAACCTAGATTTGTAAAAGAACTCATGATTCTTTTATGTATTTTTACAACTGGTTGAAATAGGGGGAAAAGTGTTTACATTTAATTCAGCTACATTTGCTAGTAGCTGTATCATTTTATACATTCTTAAATAATTTGGATTTATTTTATATGAAAAAATTATGTAGGCATAACTGCGAATTTTGTTTTCCTTTTCTTTTTTGTTTCAGTTTTATCAGTTATAGGGAAGAAATGAAAAAAAACTATGCATCTATTTAACTTTACCTTCTATCCTTTTTTTCCCCTAACTTAAATTTAATCTTTAATAGTCAAATTAATATAGGATTATAATTTTCTTACCAGGATCAGAAGTCTTCCAGAGCCAGCCATCTTTGGAAACATTCCCACTTGGTTGGTTTATAAAGATTTAATGTAATTTAGTAATACACATACTGATTTCTTATTCAGTGTTAGCAATTTTTTTTCTTTCATTTTCTTGCCATGAAGATCAAAGAAAGTAAAGTGTTCGCTTACATTTCTGGTGAAACCCTATCCCAGGACAAAGGTGATTACCTATAAGGCGATGTAGTACAGTGAGTCTTTTAAAGGTATTGGAGCACAATTCTCTTGTCTCAGGAAATCTAGTGTGTTCTCTCTTGGACATTTTCATTGGTGTTACACACAATCTGTTATTTTATTGGCCAGTGTCAACAGTTTTTCATGTTCGAGAAGCAAATTTTATACCTATAATTCAGACTTTGAAGATCCAGTGTTCCATTCTTTTGCTAATTAACATGAACTATTAAAGCTAGTGGGAGAAAGCTAAGGCTTTCTACTCCCGAAAGAATTACCACCTCAGAAACCCCAGGAATAGGGTCACTATGAGTCAGAATCGATTCAATGGCAGGAAGTTTGGTTTCTGTTTGAGTAAAGTTAGTGTTTATGAGACGGTGATGTTTTTTCCCCCCAAGCTTGTTCTTTCATCATATTTTCTGAAGTTGGAGGAATTACATTTTTTTATTATATAGTCTTAATGTTTCTGTCACATCCATCAGCTTAGCTGTATACACCAACTTTCAGATATTTCCCAAGTTACATGTTGCTTATTAACTTCTTACAAACTTAAGATTTTAATAATTACTATTTTCTAAGTTGATAGGGTGAGTTTTTTTAATGCTTAATGAAGATTGATTATGCTGTCTTTAAAAATACCATGGGGTCTGGAGACTTGATTTCTAATCTTCCCTCTGTTGTCAATGAGCTGTGTGTAACTCTGGATAAGAGACTCCATTTTCTCATTTGTAAATGAAGACACAGGAGAGTTGATTCGGGAGTGTGTCAAATTTCACCCACTGTAATTTACTTCTCTATTAGCCATCTTAGAATCATCTTGACTCACTTTTATCCCTGTTATTCTTTGCATAAACCATCTGTACTATATCATCTTCTACAATGGATGAGAAGTTGATATTTAATTGGTAGGATTTGGA